GAGAATAATAAGAAAGACAACAAACATTTCGACAGCATTTTTTGTTTAATATTTGAGATGGGCTATATTTACTTAAAGCAGCGTTTCTCAACCTGGTTGCGTTTCTCAGCCCCAGGAGTAGACGGGAAAAAGATGTAATAAAAGATAAAAATCTGTTGTAACAATTTGGCATTCCCAAGTCAAATTATATTTCATCATGAAAAATCAAAATAATTAAATTGGATCCGAAATAGTTTTAATTTAGAAAGTAAAATTTAGTAAAAAATAAAGTTTATTTGTTTTAAAAATTTCGGTATACGTTTTACTTGCAGGTCCAGTACTTGTCGAGAGAGATAGGACCACTGGCCGATATCTAACAATAATAGTCGGTGTCGGCCGACTATTGCAGGCTCGTCATTGTTTTCTGTGATAATATTTGATTTCCGCAAGAATCTAGGATAATCCCACGGTTAATCGTCGGGCTGGTTGTAATTTGCCCATTTCTTTTCTGTGGAATGTACTGCAATTAATTTAGCGGTCGTACTATAAGGGGCTCCAAAAAAAGGTGGCAACACTGCTTTGTCTGACTTTCTATTTTTCTCATCATAATATTGTTTTTTGTCATCATAATATTGTTTTTAAGGTTACAGCGGAAAACATCGCGGAGAAAACAACGCAAGGAGAAAACGTCGAGGTACAAAATATTGTGGGAGAAAAGAAAGCAAAGAGAAAATATCGCAGTTCTAAAACATCGTGGTCGAAAATAAAGCAGTTCAAAAACTTCGCAATTTAAAAGCATCGTCGTCGACAAAATCACCGTATGATGATAACAATGCCCACATGCGCTTTTCAGGTTGTAAAATTTATAAATGAATTTTCGCATAATGATTTTAGAGCGCTAGAGGGATAGAGGGTGAATATGTTAACGGCACTTAAGAATAAACGGTAACAAAACAAGATATAATTTTCACTAAAAACAATAACAGATTAACAAGTCTGAAAGAAAATAATTTGATAATTAACTAAGCAATTTGTATAGAGGTAACCTCATGCATTTATTTATCTTTCTTTTCTAAACATTTTTAGACTGCATTTTTTATTAAAAATTATCTGTAAAACTTCATAAAAAGATTAATTAATTAATAACCTTTTTTAAGTAACTATGTAAATTCAAAATTCTATTGTTATAAATTTGCAGTAATTTTCTACTTATTATCAATTTTAAATGCATAAGTTTCCTTCTTATTTTTTCAGCAAAAATGTATTAGTTCATTCAAAGGTATGAAATATAGAAGTAAAAAATACTCCTCTTTCCTTCTTGCGTTCCCAGATCGTTATTCGAAAATGTACTCACACTTTTTAAAATCTGAAAAACGGATATGTGCAATGTTATCGTCATGCGATGCTTTGTAGGTACTATCTTTGTAAGGTACTGTATTTTTTACCACGATATTTTCGACGACGATGTTTTTAAACTGCGAAGTTTTGGGATCGCTTTATTTCCGACCACGATATTTTGTACCACGATGTTTCAGAATTGGGATGTTTCTCTTTACTTTCTTTCCTCCCACGATGTTTTGTAGTACGACGTTTTCGCCTAACGTTGTTTTCTCTGCGACGATTTCGTTCGCGATGTTTTTGCCAGGATTTTTCCGGCGGACACAGTTTTTAATCAGTTCCAGAGGCATAGCTAGGGTTTTTAGGGCCCGGGGACAGCTGAAGATTTTGCGTCCCTTCCTGTGTGCCAAAAATGGAAAACATTTCATTCTGCAATTTCATCACAGCAATTTGGCGCCCCTTGGATGCTGCGCCCGGGGACAGATGTCCCCTTTGCCCCACCCTAGTTACGCCACTGATCAGTTCCTAGCTTGCTTGTTCGATTCCTACTTTACTAAGACGAGAATAAAATGGTCAGAGTTTTGTGGTTAAATACTTACTATGGCAAGTCTATGTCAGGTTGTTACTTTGGTCTCCTCGGATGTGTCAAAGCAATAAAATGTATATATTGTTGCATCCATCGACAAGCTGTAGAATCGAAGTCCTTTCCTATTGGTATGAAAGAATTTGTATGATTCTGTGACAGTGGTCATTTTCATCAAAACCTATCACACGAATTCAAGGTTATTCTCATTATTGTGTCAAAGAATGGGCAAGATTCACAAAACCCCAATCCTTCATACTGAGATTCGATGGCTGTCTTGGTACATGTTTGATTGAGTTTATAGATGGGGTATAAAGTTCTTAGACGTTTGTTTGAGCTTAGACAAAGTTTTGTTCTTTTCAGGGACAAAATGACAGTCAAAGTGTTCTTTGAGAACAACCCTTTCTGACTTACTTTAATAATAATGAATATCTTCAGGCAGATACATTACGTACGTAATTTATAAGATATTTTCTCCTTCCTTTCAGCATGCCTTCGTGGTGTACTTGATGGCATGGCTTGCTATCGACAACTAATTTCTGAACAAAACAAGAAAAGGCAAACCATGCTAGATAACTTCTTCACAAAAAAGCGAAAAATGTCAAATAAAGAACTCTCGTTCTCACAAACATAACTTCTTTATTCGAATGTTTTCTGATTTTCATGAATGTTTTATAAATAAAAGTCGGTATTAACCACACTCGCCGCGTATTCGGAAGGTCCCGAGTTTGAATTCTGGCAAAGGCACTGCGTGATTTTCAAGTCTCCAGCATAAAAAACCTTATGACCCTACAAATTATATATATGTAACTTATCCGAGAATCATGAATGGTTTCATATAGTCTTGCACACATGTTCGATATCTTTCCGAAATTAAACCAGCTAAATTTTGTTCTTCAGAACAGTGCAGTATATTCCAAGTTACGGACAAACTAGAATCTTTCATTCAGAAAATAGAATTTTGGAAATTATGTATTGAGAACGACCAACCTGAAGTTTTTGAAAAACTGCACGATTTTCTCTCTGAAACGGATCTTCACGTATCTCAAGAAATTAAGAAACAAATAATATATCTGAATGGACTGAAGGCAGCTTTCGAATTTTTTTTCCCAGTTGAGAAATGAGAACGGATTCTTCACTTAAAGTAGAAATTGAAAAGAAATCCTTCATCTCTTTTTGTATTGACCTGAAAAACGAATGTCCAGAACTATTCAACAAGGCAATCACTATTCTGCTATCGTTCTCAAGTATCGTATTAGCGGATAGGGCTTTCTCGTCCTACACTTGCTTGAAAAATAAGTACTGGAACAGATTTTCAGATCATTAAGTCACCTTCTATTCTGGATTTAAATTACTAAATGCTGCCAAACAGCCTCAAAATTCCCATTAAATGTGATAAAAAAGAGAAAAAGATGTAGCAAATACGTAATATTGACGGCGTAGAACATAGATCTATACTGAGGAGGGAACCTGGCAGTCGAGGCGTTTTAAAGTCCATTTTAATTATATTGCCATTTGTGGCCACAATTTCACTTCGCATTCTAATCGTGCCTATTTCCAAAACATTTACATTTTTGATACTGTTGCGTTAGGAACAGAGCGCAGCGAAGTAGCTTCCAAGCAGCTAAGGAGAGAGGTTCAAGCTAAGTGTGCATTTATTCAATAGCAGTCTGTTAAGAGAAAGGTTTTGGTTTAGCTTAGAAAGGGTTCGGTTCTCAGAGTTCCGAATTAAATACGTCATTAGCGTTACGCAAGCTCTGTGGCATAGATTACTCTAGAAATGGCGCAGTACAGAAATGTTGTTAATTTTTTTAGAATAAAGAGGAAATAACCAAATTAAGAAAAAGACTAATGAAAGGTTATTACTTAATTAAATTAAAAAGATTTACATATTTTTTATCTTACGCTCACATATATATCTATATAATTTAATTAAATGAGTATAATTATCAATGTACACCAATTTTGCATAACTGTTAAAAATAAAAATGTCTCCTTATTATAGTGTTATTAAAGTACCTGTACATGTAGATGTTAGTGATTATACATATATGGGGGGGGGAAGTGCAATACTTTGAGCAGTGATGATAGGTCAAGAGGTACGCAGGTAAAAAAAGTTGAGAAACGCTCCTTGTCTACGCTCATGGAAGTGTTCATCAAATTTATAACTAAACTGGATTAGATTTATCATAGCAAATGTTAACTGCTAGGGCTATCTGCTTAAGGAAAAGGAAGATGCCTTCGTGGAGGACTCTCTGACAGGAATTTGCTCATATTCATGTTTTACACAGAGGAATCTACGAAAATATCGATGCAAGCAGTTCCTTCATCAAGATTTGAACTGAGAAAATACTATCAGCGTTCAGTGGTCTTATCTTTTCTGCCGCTAGAGTGCCTTATAACTAGAAATTCAAGATGACAGAACATAGAACAAATATTAAAAATTTCATTGCAAAATTATTTCTATGCATTTAACAACTTCAGAATTAAACGAAATTTTTGTGCATTTACAAAATTATAGAATTAAAGGAAATTTTAGCATATTTTTCTTTTTTGATATTATGATATAAAATAAATTTTATCATTTAAGCTGGACATTTATTTAAACTGGAACGCCAAAGACTTTTACAATAAGCACAGACAGTCGAAAAAAAAAAAAAAAAAAGAGAGAAAGTTTTGTTCTTTTCAGTGACAAAATCGAAGTAGATGTATAAATATGTAGCAAGAAACCTCATCTCCTATTGTGGGAATTATGGATGACGACACAAAGGCTTTAATTCTCGCATCTACGTACTCCATCCGCTTGCGTCATCCGCTAAAAATCCTTCAATGATTCTGTCTTTCGAAACCACCCTCTGAGAATTATCCTTCCGCGATGAGTAAAGAGTTCTAATATACAAATACGATTACATCTTTAATTGAATTCTAAAAGACATTTTTTAACAACTAATACATCTGAAATTCATTGAGGCTTTGAAATCTTGCACTATTTATTTGTAAAATTTGATTAAATCTATAACGAAATTGCTATCTGGTAGGGCGGATGTCCCTAGCGCCGGTTGTTGACTCTCGCGGATGCAATTCAGGCTGCTAATGCGCAGTCTATAGATCGTTGCACAATGGAGGTTTCAGCTTTGAGGTGCGGTGTTATCTGTACTGCTTTCTGACTAGGGTTGGCCACAATTAAACGGCCGGTCCCTAGACTGAAGCAGTGTGGATTAATTACGATTTAACTTCCCTACTGGAAGTATCGAACCCGTTTTAAGTTATATTCCTCAATGGAACATCACTTTTTATCGGGTAAGTGTGCTTTGGTAATAATATTTCAGACGTGGCTTTTGAAAGGTCATTGTGATTGAACTTTTAAATTCATGTTTCACTTCAAATAAGTGATCATATGGAATAGCGATACGTATGCTTTGACCATAGACTCATTTTTATAATTTTTTCCTTGAATGAACGAATGGAATATGTCTATTTCCTGTATTTGACCCGCATATGGCGTTACGGCGCAGATCGATAGAAAAACATCCGCCTTCGAGATTTATTTGGCGTGGCAAAATGCTTCAGCTTGGTTACAGATCCTTCAGGGTTTTACTCTGACTTTTATTGCTTTTTATGATAAATTTTTAATTACATTGCCTTACATGAAAAAATAACATGTTTTCATTTGTGTCTGCTATGTTGAAGTAAATTAGGTGAGACGAAAATTTGTTTTTGACTTTTGTTATAGTTGTAGTATAAAGTGATATTTTGTTTCTGTTTGCTGTTTAGGGAAATTTAAAAGCCTTAAGATATGATTACATGGACGGTTTTTCACATGTTTATTTTCGTAAATTTATTTATATTCAACTTTATGAATTAAAATATTAGAATTGAAACATTTCGAGAAATTTTATTGTAACTTGTGCATTTTTCAGAATTTATAATTCTATAATATTAATTTTAAATCTTGTGAAAAATCGATTGTTTTTGCCTTTGTAAAACAAATTTTATGATCTTTTAATAAATAAATTTTATATTATTTTAATAAATATGAAATTACTTGTATGCATGTGTGTGTTTAAAAAATTGTATAACTTTTTTTTTTTTCTTAATAGGTATCTCGATTTTGAAACGAATTCCAAACCAAGATTAAAAGATATTCCAATTTGTCATTTGGATTACATAAAATTGTGATATTTCCTAGTCGTGCCCGAAGAGACCAACTCCATTTTTTGTGTTTTTATCAGCTTTTCACAGTTTAAATTGTCTAGTGTATCAAAAATCATTTCACTGACCCATTTGGAATAATTTATCGAACCTCGATGACTTGTGCCGCGAGAATAGCCAAAACGAACTTGCGACTGAACCTGAGAGATGCTGGCCACAAACAGCAAACTAATTTCGACAGTAAGCCTGGCAGTGGAGGGGGAAACCTTAGTCCAAATCTGCAGCCTGCCACACCTCCTACCTATCCAAATCCCAAAGAGCCACTCACTGCCACAAAGGTAGCAGATAAGTACTTGCTACTGAACCGCCTTGAAGGTAGTACTCTAAGGCGTTGCATCCATATTCAGAGTCAACAAGAATTTGTATGCAAGGTAAATACTTTTGAACTGTTTATTAGAATATTATAGGAGCAGCTTTCTGCATCATAGTCAAATGTTTTCATATTTCCCTCCACTTCCTTTATTTCACCTCACATTGTGTGGTTCGCCTGATAAATTATGTAAAACTTGTTTTGCAAGGTTATGGATATAAAAGGTTTAATTTTAATTAACCATAATTTAATTAATTAACCATTTAAGGGTTTTCATCCGCAGAGAACCCGTTGGCGCCGTTACATTTTTACTCGCCAAGCTAACGATGAGCCGAGCCGTAAACGTGATTTTTAGTGCATGTAAATTAAAGTTAGCAGATGAAACAATATATTAAGTATATGGTAGTAAAAATTCACAGATAATAAGCATGTAGATGTAAAACTAACCGGTTAAACGTGATATACGAAAATAAATTTGTATTAAAATCAAGTTAGCACAGAAAAGAATATATTATTAAGCACAAGACAATATATAAGCATTTATAACGGAAATAAAAATTCATTTAAAAAATATAAATCAGTATTAATATACTGAAATTTACCGGTTAAGCGTGATATACGAAAAAAAAATTGTCTTAAATTCCAGTTAACACAAAAAACAATATATTCCTTACACTAGCAGTGGTTTGCTAATTTTGATGACTATAGTGGTGCATCAAACTATTCTGTCATCTTAGATAATCAATAATATTTTTTTATTTCTCACCTATTTATGTCACACCTGTCATCCTCTGAAAGGTTATTGTTAGAAAAGCATTAACAATATATTATCTTGTTAAAATTTTACGCCATAAAAATTGATTTATTCTCATAATTTTAGATGACAATAACCAATAATAAAAATAAAAGCATTATTTAATATTTTAAATGCACATGCACATTTTTGCGGTCTACGAAAACAAATTTTAGACGTTGAAAACCTCATGGTTCTTAGAGCTGTAAATAATTAAGAACACAACGTGAACAGCCGTGTTACAAATTAGCATTCACCCCTCCTTTGATCCCGAACCGAGAACCGGCATCTATCTACGAAAATATGTCTATCTATTCGTTGTTAAAAAATTCAGAAAAAAATAATAATAAATAAGAGAAGAATAATATAAATCTGCAAATGCGAAAAACGACAGTGATAATTCAACAAAATAAACGCAAGAGGAATGGTTGCAAACTTCGAACTAGCGAATAGGACAAATCCGTTGGGTTACCAGGTTTGAACTATTATCGTCAAAGTTGGCGATGTTTACATTTACCGGGTACTCTGCGGAAGTGCTTCCAAATTTAATAAAGTACGATTTTGAGTGTATAAATAAATTATCAGCAAAAGCCTGGTGTTATCTTTTTGTGATGTTAATGGGAGGTATTATGTAAGTAAATCTGTATAGTTAGTAGAGATGAAATGGAATAATGTATAGAATAATATCAGTTATTGTAAATGAGACAGTTTATTGATACGAAGAGAAGCAAATGCAGTCATCTAAGTCTAAAATGAAATCATTGTATTGTGTTATAATCATACCTGGTATGTATCTGTGTTTTGTATTTTTATCATATTTAGATTTAGTAGTAGGAAAATGTTGAACATTAAATTAAGCAGAGCAAGAATTTTGCTTCTGACAAAGAAGAACCTGTATCTGTTTGTCCTCGAAATCGAAAGTCTTAACTAAAATCCGTGCCAAACAAAACCGTGTTTTTGCGTTGCCTAATTTTACGTTTTGCTGTGCATGTTTCTCTTCTGTTGTTATGTTGAACTTTAAATGTTTTTTATATTTAAATAATTTAAATTTGTCTTATCATCCCCAATAAATACACAAAGCAGATTTATTGCATTCAGTTCTTTTTATGTAATTTTAAAATAATTGTTTCCATCTCATTGTACTTGAAAGTGTAGGAAAACCTCTCGCAGTGACCACATCCCTAAAATGACATATGAAATGTAACGAGTGTTCCCAATAACATAATGAAATACCAGTGATTTCATTCTCTAAATACTGCTGGTTATGCTTCAGGTTTTATGCATCTGGAATTATGGGTGCTTGTGTTGAGGAGGTTTCATTGCATGCATATTTGAATTTTAATATTGGCCTTTTATTTCTATTGATACAGAGCTCACCAGTGGGCCCAAGTAGTAATTTTGCTGAACGCTGATAGTTTGGTCTGTGATTTGAATCCTGGTGCATGGGGCTTTTCATGGTTTTCCAATGTGTAACTTGTAGCCATATTCTCTTAGCAAGCCCTCCACAAAGGCATCCCTTTCCTTAGACATATTGCCCTGGAGTGCTTTGTCATAATCAAGCCAAGTTTACTGATATAGAGAATTCACCTGTATAGCATAATAAATTGTTCCTTATGTTGATCTAATTGTTCACTGTATTGCTTTAATTAATTTTAAGTCATTTTAATAATAATAAAATGTATTGTAGCACATCAAATTTATAATTGCAATTGCATTTGAGCCAGTACTTGGTAGAGAGACGAGTTGAATTGTTTTGTCTATATGATTATGGTAAAGCTCAGGAGGGATATATGCCTTTGTGGAGGACTTCTATGGAAAGCTGGCTCCTACCTACATTTACACATGGGGAAAACCATGAAAATGTCCATGCAATCAGCCTCTTCACCTGGAATTGAATGCAGGTGGCAACTAACCAATATTCAGCAACTTCACTGCTTGGTCAGTAGTTTGCTGTTAAGTAAATATACAACATGAAAAAAATCTCTCACTAGTCATGACTTACCTTTAGTTTTTGTTATTATTTTAAAGTTGAGCTGTAATAATTCTATTTAGTGATTTTATGCACTTCGAAGCCAAATTTCTAACAAAGATATTTTTTTGCACTCATATTTTTTATGAATGCTAACAAAGGAAGTGTGTGCTTTATCACATTTAAATGGAAACTTAATGGAGATCATTAATAATGAAAAGTTTAATAAATTTTTTAATTTTCGGGAGGGGAGGGGCTATATTTGTTATCAGGATCAAACTGGTCTGTGTATTTTTATAAGATGCATCTTGCTGTAAAGAATGAAAGGAGCTTAAAATCTTTCATGTCAGGAAAGTTTAATATCTTAAAAAGTATAGTTTATAAAATTTGGAGTTTATATATAACAACAAGTATAATTAAAACAAAAGAATTTACATATGATTGATCTGGAGTGTAAAATTCAAACGTACTGGCCATTTTAATGTAAAAAGGAAAGGAAGTAGAATTTTCTTGTTTATACAGCTCATATCAGATACTATTTATATCAAAAAAAATTTTTTTCATGTTCCAAAATATAAAAATGGAAGATGAGCTGTTTTCAGTTTGTTGCTGGAAGTTATTAAAAAGGCAGTTCCAGTTCTGCAATAAATATTTTATGAATAGTTATTTATGTATACATATTCCAAAGCCAAGAAATATTTACCATTTTATCCGTATGTGTCAATAATTTCAGTTATGTACAACAGAACTAAGGAAAGTACATATTGTAAACAGTAAAATCAGTCTTTTTTTTTTTTTTTATTTATTTTTTTTTTTTGGTGATTTCATAGTTTAAAACTTAAAAAGTAATGTTTAAAATGTATACAGAAAGCAGCTAAAATTTTTTAACAGAAATAATATTGCATACTAATAATTTTCCTTATGTATTTGAGTAAAAGTGTATTTGGACTATCTAGGGAGAAGAAATGTGTGTAATAGGTAGTGGCAATTTTGGTTCTTAGGGAAAAAAATTAGGGGAAGCATTAAAATGTCAACAAAGAATTCCATTATATAAGAATTAATAGCTTTGTGTTTGATAGTTTAACATTCATTATTTATTGTGTCGAGTTGTTCCGGCAACATTCTCTGGTGCATTATCCTAGCGCGGAAGCTAAAGATAGTCAACAAACTGTTCATTTTAAGGAATTATTTCATGTGCGGTGCTGAATGAAGACATTTTTCCTTTTGCTGAAGTATCACAAAAGGCTTTTAATGCAACATGAGCTGAGCACTAGGGAAACAGTTTTCTGTCGCATTTGGCGCCCCACCCTGGACAGTTAGGAATAACCATTCAAAGCTATATACATAATGAATAAATATTGAAAGATGAGAATGTACTTACTTGTAAAATGTTTAGCTTCATGCAATATCTTTATATATAGCTGCAAATAACAGCGAGTTTCGAATTCTAAATAGCGTATAATAATACGCGCATTCGCGGGTATTCAAAGCCATTAAATGGAGGATCATGCAACTTAAAAATTGCGAATAATGAAGTCAGTGCTGATAATTTTAATGTATTTTTTAAATCATTTAATTATCGATGTCTTATTTAATTAAATTTATTACATAGTTTGATATTTTTGTAGTGCGGTCTTTGTGTTATCACTGTCGCCTTTGTTAAAGAGACATCGATATTGTCGTTCGTTTGATTTCCTTTCTTTTAAAGAATTTTGCAGCTTCGTTAATGTTTTTAGCCCAAAGAATGTTAGCCCGGATGGGCTATTAATTTCGTTTTGGCATTTTGTGTTGGTTCACTATAAATGTGGGTTCACTTTTCAAATTGTTGCCACCAAATGTTATCGCTCGTGTTATATTTAAAGAAATTAAATAATGAAGAATCTGCATAAATGTGTGTATGTTTCTCGTATTGCCATAAAACAACGGTACCTAGAACCATCAAATTTTAAATAACGTAGATCTAGACCCGAATATTGGCATCTGGAAGCCGGAATTTGTTTTATTATCGATTTGATATTTTGTAACACTTAAATGAATTTTTGATTAACAAACTCAACGATTTCAAAGCGAGCAATGACAACACTGTACCGGGGGGGGGGATTATTTCCAGTACGCGAGACTCTTTAGCGGAAATTCTAAAGATATGCTCATTTTAAAAATTATTTTGCGATATTGCTGTTGAATTGAATTTTATGGTTTAAGTGCGAAGAACATGATATTTAATAAATAAAGGTAACACAAAACGTTTAAAAAAAAACCCCTTTGGGCGTAATGTAAAATCTGAAAGCTTTCAGATTTTTTTTTTTTTTTTTTTAAAATTAAGAACTTTGTTTCAGAACTGTTAATGCAGCTTATTTAGGGAGGGGGAAATTAGTTCTTTCCCTTCAGTAAATAAGTCATTTTGTATATCTTGGTGAAGAGAAGGGCTATGCCATTTTGTTATTAAATTGGCTATGCCATTTTGTTATTAGATTACTTTGCTGCTGGAGGTGTTCCCAGTTTTTAGTAACCTGAAAAAAGAAAGGAAAATTAAACTTATGTGTATTTTGAAAGTTGGTCAAAGTTCGGGTGAATCGAATTTTTTCGTACGTCAAGTTGATGTTCAGAAGGTAAAACTATGAAATTTATTTCGGCTTCTTTTATTTCTATTTCATTGTTTCGTGGTTCCTTTATTATAGTTTATTGAAAATACTGTAATATTTTTGTTGTTCAATTACTTTAAATAGCTTGAATTACTCTATTATAGCTATTTATGTTATTGCAAAGTGCACATAAATCGGTATCAGCCTTACAGACAAAATTTACAGAATTTGCCCTTGTGCCATTTTGGCTCCGTCAGGCCGAACAAGAGGGTGAGAAGTGAAATTTTCGTCATGCTGCATTCGTTTCTCTCTTCTATTTTGCCAACTGAAGCCGGAAATCGCTTCATTTTTTTGTTCTCAATTCTTTGTTCTTTTCCACGCTAGGAATCTTGCGAAAGGCGTCAGATGAATATTATTCAATGCCAAACCCAGCTCCGAAGGCGAAAAAGACGATTGGTTGTTGAGTGTAATGGACTAGTGGTGGTGGTGCATTTTCTTTAGAACAATGCTCCTCCCTTTCCCTCCTCATAAGATGTTTCATCAGCTGCTAAGATTTTAATCGCTTTTTATAGAAACCCGTAACTGCAATTATAAAATTGATTATCTAATTTATATATATGTGTGTGAATGTATTATGTTGATCCATAGCATATTTCAAATAAAATAGCCTAGGTAATTTTTTTAATCATTTTTTCCATTTCCTTGCCATTGATGTCTCAATAAGGGGGTAACAATCGGTGTTAAAAACTGAAAATTTTAAGGTTCTTTGAGACGTACATTTATCATTCCCACGATTGATTTCTTTGATAATGGAAATACTTTTATTGGGGGGGGGGTGGCGAAACCGAACTCTAAAAAAACAATTTTAGAGATACAAAATATTCTTATCGATTCGAGAGCAAAAAGAGTGAAAGTTTTCGATTATAAAATCGATTGAAAGTAAGGATATGAACGAACCTTTCCATCAACCGGCCAAAGGGAAAAATTATTTTTCCGTTAATTTTTAAAAAGGGGGAAAAGTCGGCAAAGAGAGAGCTTGAAGGAGCACACGCGGCCCCATCCAAACTGTGTGTGTCAAATTTCGAACAGCAAGCCTGTGGCGCGATACATATACCCACATTTTTTTCATTACTTTAAGAAAACCCTTCCTGTTTCTTAATCTAAGATATTATATAATAAGAAGAGCGCAGCAGAAGCCTTTTTTCCTCCCGGCCGAGTGAAAAGCTCTAAGTAGTTTATGCAGCAATTCTAATGAGGTAGAATGAGTCAGTTTTTTTGAGTGCCTTCCCATAGATTACCATGGTAAAGCTTTTTGAAGCTACATCTGGAAAAGTGATCCCTTCCCTTTAATTTAAGGTTTAAATGCTACAGCTGGTTTTACTTACCTCTGGGAGATAATTTGTCAATAGTTAATCTGTAAACATTTAAATCAGGTACTTCTTGTATTTTATTACTTTAAAAGCAGTTAAGATGCACCTACTTCTAACAGCAAGTTGTAATTATTATACATCCATAAGCAAATTTATTAAACTAATTGAAGAAAATATGGGAGGTTTTAAAGGAAGAGGTTTATTATGATGAACAGTTTGTTCCTACTGTGTGTTGCACATTTATTATTTTACCAGTCAGCATATGTTATATACTTGTGAGTGAAATACAATACTCACTCCTAAGCATTGCTTATATTCATAAATAAATGTTTCTTTGGTAAGAAAAATTTGATATTCAAAAAATGTGTGCAGAGTTTTTCTGTTGAATCTGTCTCAGGATGAAGTCTTATGAATAATGTGAAATTGCTATTCAATCAGAAATAAGATGTCTCAGAAGATCTCTTTATTCTTTAGAATATGGCAAAAGTTTGTTTTTAGTCATGACTGTAGTGGATTTTTTTAAAGTATTGATTGCTGTATTTACTTCAGTGAAGTTAAATATTTGAAAGCGGTATTTATTTCATTAAAATGAGGATATTAATTTTAAAAATCAAGTTTATAGTTTGATATGTAAATAAGCATCAAGCATTTCAGTTATGCAGATATATAGATCTGTAAATATATCCTTTTTAGTTATTTCTAATTGACAGAAGGCTTTGAAATGTATTTGTTATAATAGATGAAGAGTGGTAAATGGGAATTTCTGCAGATTTTCTTATGATTAATCTTAGAGAAGCCTTTTAGAAAATTTGATTTTTTTTTTTTTTAAGTACTGTTTCTTAGGGGGGGAAAGAGTATTTAGAAATATATTAAAAGTCTTATTTTATTATTAGTAACATAGGGTTGATTTATAGAAGAAATCAGCCGTATAATTATGTAAAATTGGTCAAAGATTTAGAATGTGTGTCATGATTAAAAGTTTAGCATTTTATAATGATTCTTATTTATAAAATAGTTATGTATTAAATTAAAAGTTGCTGATCTTCTGGGGAAGGGAATTTTTAGAACAAACCATTAACATTCTTAACGTTGTAGAAGGATTTAATTAAGTTTAATTTTAACATAAAGATGTTTTTCCCCAATCTCCAAATTCCAATCTTTTGTTGTAATTCGAAGGTGTGCAATAGAATCAAATTAATTTGGGATTGCAGAAATTATAATGTAGCAGCACATATTTAACAATAATGTGACATTTTTTAAACTTTCATAATTATGAGTTTTACAGTAAATTGTGATTTAAACACTATCTCAATACTTTCCAGTTTTTAATTACTTTCAAACTGTAAAAATCATGGTTTTGGGATAGCAAAAGCTCTCTTTTAAGAAAACCTTCTAATAGCTAGAAAATTTACAAGTTTTGTTATATTTTATAGATTATTACAATCATAATAATTAACATTAAAATCAAAGTTCATGAATGTTGAAGTGTTATGTATTCCATGGAAATTGTTTCATGAAGTTACAATTTCATGAAGAGTCATAATTGACTCTTTCGGAATAGTGGCAGGATTTTCTGAGGTAGCTAGAACTTTTTCTTTCTAAATGTTTCTATTGAAAAACAAGAATGACTAATGAGGTTTGATAGGTTTTGAACAGTTTTTCTTCAAACCAAATGGCATATCATGTACATGCATCAATATACACAAGCAGATGTCTGCTCAACAGATTTTGTTACAGGCAACTAATGATAGCATGTATCATAAATAGAATCCTGTCAATATTTAGAAGATATAGTGTTAGGGGAGCCAGCTGCCATACGGAAGGGTCTGTGTTCGAATCCCGGAGAAGGCGCATGAATGTAAATTGTCTGTTCCCTCATAGGAGGTAAGGTTGGATGCCTCCAAAATAAAATGGCCACCACTTTCAGCCTTAGGAATGGTCATTGCTAGAAAAGGCCAGTGCCCCCCCCCCCCCCCGAAAAAAAATTAGGAAGGGTAAACACTGAAATTATTCTTAACATTTGTCTTGAAAATGTCTAATCTCTCATGTTATTTTTAATCAACAAATGTCACTCTCTTAGTATACCTCATTGTCAGTGAGATAATCTCTCTTTCAACACAAAGCAGATTTTTGTGTATGAATTGAAACATGATAATATTTTGATGTACAGGATTATGCATATTACATTTTTATCAAATGTCTCTTTCAGGTTGTGCCAAATGAAAGGTATCGAGATGTGCTTCGAGGACATTTCAGGCTGGAAGCTCATCCAAACATTAATCCTGTAGAAGAAGTACTTGTGGGTAGATCAAGTACTTACGTTATATTTCCTAGATGTTATGGAGACTTACATTCGTATGTCCGAAATAAAAGGAATCTTCGTGAAAAAGAGGCACTTCCGTTATTTAAGCAGGTAGCAAGTGCTGTTGCTGCATGTCATTCAGCTGGCATAGTCTTAAGAGACCTCAAACTCAGGAAGTTTGTTTTCAAAGACCCAGAGAGGTAGGCTTTACTTTTATGTAAATTTATAGAATAAAGTACTATTTTCAGAATTTATAACTCTCTCTCTCTCTCTCTCTCTTTTTTTTTTTTTAAATCTAGTGAATTCAGTGAAAGAATGCATTATAATAATTTGGATGTAAAAAAATCATCCAAAATATTTTTTATTAGTCTTTTTTTTTCCATGGGTTTGTACTAAAAATTTTCTATAAAGATGGAAGTGCAAAAATAAAAGATAAATAAGGGCATCCCTATATTTTTATTTAATTTTTTAATTTGGGAAATTATAAATAGGTTATAAAATAGAGTATTGCATCAGTCGGGGCCCCCCCCAAAAAAACTAACTTAACTTATAAGCTCAGTGGCATAGCTGGGGGTAGGAGAGGGCAGTCTGATCCATCTTGAACATCAATTTTTCACTTAAAATATCAATTTATAGAGTTTAGTCATTTGAATAATTAAGACAGTTGAAGAATGAGACTCTGAATTGCTATACAGAATTAAATCGTGAAGAAAAATAGTTTTTACTCTAGATAAAGTATTTAAATAAATCATTGACATTTCAACAGATACATATTCTTGTTACACCATTTTTATTCCGTCAAAACTTTTGAATGAAAATTACGAACATCAACCAAAATAATTATCATGGTGACATTAGTAAGGAAGAATTCATCATTGAGAGAGAAGTATTTTAGAATTTTTTGTTATTGCTAGGGAAAACGAAGCAGGAATGTGGAAGGACGATCCTTTTCAGTTTATTCTAAAATACAATACCCAGAACAAACTTTCAAGGAATGTGGAAGGATGATCCTTTTCAGTTTATTCTAAAATACAATCCCCAGAACAAACTTTCAAGGAATGTGGAAGGACGATCCTTTTCAGTTTATTCTAAAATACAATCCCCAGAACAAACTTTCAAGGAATGTGGAAGGACGATCCTTTTCAGTTTATTCTCAAATACAATCCCCAGGACAAACTTTCAGGTATTGTAATACTACTGCGACATAAATCACAGTACAATACTTAAATACAGTACATAAACATAAATCACAATTGCTGTAAGTGTTGCTAGTTGTAAGAAGGGTTTCTAAATATATGCTTGTATGTATGGTTTCATGGATGTTTGTAAATGTGTAATAGTATCTTCGCAGCATGAAGGCACTCTAGGTGAGCTGAAAGTCCTCTTATGTGGTTGGATGGTAGGGCAGAGGGATGGGCGAACCTTGGACCACCCACTGTGGTTCTCTTCCTCAAAATTGGAGTGGAAAGTAAAAGTCGAACCTCTCTGAGGCTTCCTTGAAATATGGATTAGATAACGGTTTATGGAACAATTTGAAAGACCTCTACAATGTCCTTGATGGTTTTGCGAATAAAAAAGTAAAATAAGAATATAATTTTAAATTGTTTAAATTAAAGTTTTCTTTAAAAATAAACAGTTTTAATTTCGTTTCCTGTGTTCCATTTTTTAATCATTTGTTTATATATCGAGAAGGGTGTCATTTTCAAGGACTGGCGCCAGCGGCAGATGTTCTAGCTATGCCACTGCATACAGTGTGTGCATAAATACAAAAATGCTTTTTTACTTGATACTGAGGGGGAGGGGAGGCAAGTACTTGATTGCATCCCTTTCATATATATATATGTCCATACTTTCATTAGAGTCCTAAAAAACTCATAATAGTTGGTAAGAATATCTGTGGTATTTAAATGTTAATTATTTTTTTAATAGAATTTAAAATTTTTTTGTTATGTAGTACTTAAAAATTATGAATTAGGATTTTAACTTCTGTGAATAAAGTAACATCTGTTTTATCCACTGTAATCAAGTAACAAATACTGAAAAATTTTATTTTTGCAAGTATGATTATTTCATAATTTTAATCCTTTTCATGTATTCAGAATCATAAATGTGGCCATTTTAAGATTTGAATGTAGCCGGAATTCCGCTATTGTAAAGTTTTGGGATCAAGTATTCAGACTAAAAGAATGTCCATTATTGACAAGATTGAATAAATCTGTTTTAACTTTCTTCTGTGGAGCTGTTGTGAAATGTTCAGTTAACTATATAAGTGATATTATGTCGGAATGAGGAATTTACTTGAATAGTAATAGCTTAGATGTAACATTAAACTGAAATTTATTTTCATAACATAAAACTATGTATAAAGCATTTAAATCAGAATTCCTCAGATTATTATTAGTAAAGGTTTTAAGTATAAATTACTGCATAACTGAACAGCTTACCAGTACTTTTTGCATTCCGTGAACCATTCTCTTTTTCTCTAGCAATTCCTTATTTTCAAAATTTGCTATATGCATACTGCATCAGTTGTTAGCAAAGAAAAAATATAAAACAGCAGTCCTCTTCATAAAAAGCAAGCTTAACATAATAAGCAGTTATTTAAAAAAAAAAAAAAAAAACTGTTGAGAAACCAAGTAGATAAGTAACTGTGTGGATTTATGTAGTGAAACATGAATTAATTTTTAATAAACTGAACAAAATCGTATCAGGCAGCAGAATTTTTAGAATTTAAGGGAGGTGTTAGGTAGCAGAAATGTTTAAAATTTAACGAGGTACTAGGCAGCAGAAATTTAGGGTCTGCAACAACTGTACTGAGTGGCAAAATACCTAGCACTACTACCAAGCACAGCTCGTTTAGTATAAGCAGCTGAAAAACAGTTTTATTCTAAATGAAAGGGCAAATTAATAACATAAAATTCATATAAGAATTAACATGAATTTCCTGCACTTCCATACAAAATAACAAAGTATTATTTTTTTAAAATTCATATTATTTCTCAGTGTGTGCAGCATGTGTAAGATATGCGATCTACTCTCCCTTAGAAAGTCCTCCATGAAGGCATCCCTCCCCTCAGGCAGATAGCCCTTGAGGCTTTTTGTAATAACATAAACCAAACCAGTGTGTGCAAAGTTAATTTTCTAAAACTAAGAGCTTGGAAGCAAAATTGTAATGAGGAAAAATTATTTCAAAAGACTGTATTTAAAAGAAAATTGATTGCAGTAAGAAATCTATCTTATTTCCATCAGGAGGGCTATTTATTAGAAATTATTTTGTATAAGAAATCCAGTATGTGAGAAAAATAAAATCTTAAAAATTAATATTAAAGTTAATCTGAATGTATCTAGGTTCCCACATGTATAATCCAACAGTGAATAAAATTCACATTTAATAGTTAAGGTTGATTTACATGGTAATGAAAAGAAAAAATTCCTGATTTGAATAAAATTTGTAACTGAATGAAATCTTAATTATGTTATTTTAGTGTGGAGGTTATTGCCTCCCAATTTAACCTAGTACGGATATTTCTGAATGATTATTCACTCTTTATTTAGCAGATATATCTTAAAATAAACCTACAATATTTCCTCCTTTTTTCATGATTTTGGCCCTAAACAACTTTGAGTGGTGGTGGCTTAATAATGTGTAGGGAGTAAAATAAAAACTTTCTCTCCGGAGGTAGTGCGAAAAAGGCGTGTTTGTCGGGCTGCTGTTGCCACAGTTACTACGTCTGAAGGGTGTGGATGGAGCACAAACCATATATGGAAGGCTGTTCTGAAGATTCAAGGATCAGCGTCGGGAAGTATAAACAAAGGACAGCAGCGCAGTTAGCTGTAACTTCTGTTGTTTAATGTCCTATCAGGGCGTGAAGATTCATTGGTTTTGTTTCTGCGGTTAATAAACACTCATTTCATATGCTTAAATAGAAAAGAATTAAAAGTGTCGTTTTCATGAAGATCATTTAATTTTTGCGTCTAAACTAGGTTTTTATTCAAGGCCGAAGCTAGGGACGGCGTTTGCGCAAAGGGCGGAAGAATCTAGAAATCGCAGATAAATTATTGCATTAGGCTTTAAGCCTACCGTCTGTCCTGAGCTTGTACTCAATTATAAAATTAACTTGTCTTTTTTTGATGAGGCGAAGAAATTAATTATTGTAAGGCATTTAAAATAGTAGATTTAATTTTGAAAAAAGGATTTTAAAAACTTGGATGGAGAACAATATATGCTTAGTATTTTTGGAAACGCAGTTAGAAATTTTAGCAAAATTGAGAAAATTCTAAATGGAATTTGATAAATTCAGATGTCTGATCTGTTTTTAGCGAAACAATTCGACGAATAACCGCTCATTGGATAAGTTGCTAATTCTGACAGGAAAATGGTGCTGCATTCTGTTCAGATGCATTGTTTTAATTTCCTGTAATAGAATAGCGTAACCATGAAAAAAATTTCATTCTTTAACTGGCGAACAGAAACATCAGTTTTTCGAAATTTTAATTACAAATATATGCAGGAATTTTAGACGGACTGTCAGATTTTAACTTAGAGCAGCTTTCGCTTGCAGCGTGTGCATTATTTGTTATTCGAACTCTTTAGATCCGCTTCTTCTTTCCTTTCAGTTTGAAATAAACCGGTTCTAGACCGGTTTCTGAACAGTCTATGCGTGAGGAGAGAAAAAAGGGGTAACGAAAGAATTCCTGTTTTCTTTAATATTCATTAAATCTTTTTTTCATCGTAAACTTCGTTCACTTCTTGAGTACAAAAAATTGGCCTTCGTTCGGATGTCTCCCCTCCCCGAAACCATGTACGATTATTTGATTCACTCGCACCATTTGCTGCCCCCTCCCTCCTTGTGCGTAAGCGTTTAACGTCCTCAGTTGATTGCATGGACGACAGCGAACGACCTTCTCTCTTTCATTGCCGAGTGTAGTTGCTAGTCTTGTGTATCTTACACCGAATATTGCTGGTTACTGTAAATTAGAAAAGATTAAATTTATTTGGAGAATTATACGTTTCTAAGAATTGGAATTTTTTTTTTTTAAGAAGAGATTTGTTGATTTTGGCATTGCGTCAAAAGCGTGAATTTTGAAATATTTATTTTCTACTAGCATAACGAAATTTTTTGGAAATAACTGATAAAATTGTTTAAAAAAAGTACTTTTGGGGATGGGGGAAAAAAAAATCAAATGAACCCTAAGATGAAAACGTAGCCGTCTATAATCTGTAACTATATTTAATCACTATGTTTGGGGAATGAATTTGTCATTCATTTCGTCATCTGAACGAAAGAAGCAAGTATTTGAATATTACATGGTAACTGGCGACGGGCTGGTGGCCATCTGCCAGAGACAATTGGGTAAAGGGAAGGGAGCTTTCATTGCGCAAACGCATGGTGGCGTTTCCTGAAAAGTATCATTTTATCTTGGTTCTTCAGGATGTATATGTATGTGCAAGAGAGTGCACGATGCTGAATTGCAACATCAGCTTTCGTAATTCTTACCCTAACTTGGCGAAAAAGCAGGAACGGAGATAATTTGAACCGCTTAGCGCCGGTTTTTGTTGCAACTTTTCCTTTAATAGATGGAAGATAAGGAATACATGTTTATAAAATGCAATAAACTCTAATTGTTCGGAGTTTCGATTTGTATTTGGAGGAGCAGTTTTTTTAATGTTAACAATGTTGTGCAGCAGATACAAAAAAATCAGTGTCTAAATGATAAGAGACTAACTACATATTTAGTTAAGCAATTCAGTATGATGATTTTAGCTACTATATATAGTGTATAAACCACATATAAATTATAAGTAGTTCTGAGTACATTAAACTACCAGTAGTTTTTCACTGGAGATCGGCTCTTGGTTGATCTGGCTCACAACATATACCGTATTTGACGGCATATAAGACGCACCCTTATTTAGAAGGTCACACACATGTAGATGTAGAAAAAGTTATGTGTGTCTAGACCTTTATCCGGGCTAAAAATAGCATTCAGTATTGAAAGTTAACCTGTGCCCTTCGTATAAGACGCAGGTAACTTTTTTTGAGACCAAATTTAGAAAAATGTGCGTCTTATATGCCGTCAAATACGGTATGTATGTGTTGTATTTCTCATGTGTGACAAAAGACTTCATCCTTGGAAAATAATTCTACCATAATAGTTTTCCAACCTAAATATGCTTCTGTAATAAAACAAAAGCTTAAGTATAAACTATTGTATTTTTGCATTTTCAAACAGTATGAATCAGAATAGAAGTTACATCAGATTTCCTATTTCAGGTGTTAAGTTATGAAGCAAATATTAAAAGAATTATGAAATAACTGAACTAGCAACCTAATTCATTTATTGTCAAATAAGCCCATATATATAGTACGGTGATGAAAAAAGTTGTAATGGTTTTTCTCAAAGCAAGAGTTAGAAAAAGACATGTTAAATAATGCAGAATGAAAATAAATGAATTAGCAACAAAATTCAGCATTTCTGTATGAATTTTTATTGCTAATTCATTTAGTATCGGCTTTGTAATATAAAATTAAGATTCATAATGAGCTTTTATTATTATTATTTTTAAATTCTGTGAATTAAAGAGGTGTTTATGTTTTGTGTAGGGGGTGATGCTCCTATCTTTGGCAGGTAACTTTTGTACATTTAACTTTTATTTTTAATTGTTCATTATAGTGTTAAAATCCTATGACTTATATGCAAGTTCTTTTAATTTAAAAAAAAAGAAAAAAAATTGGAACGTGATTTTCAGAGCTTATTTGGAGCCAAATTGTCCTTTACAGAACGTATTGAGTGTAGTAAAGAAGAAAAGTTTGGGGCCAAAATCATTTAAACTATTAATAAATTAATGTAATTACTTTTCAATGCTTGATAGAGTCCATCAGTGAACTTAACTTTAGTTGGCTTGTTATGGGTGTACAGAAACTTTAAATAAATAAATAAGGTACAAATTGGTTTCTTTGAAACATTTTACTAACAAACAATTTCATTAACTGCTACATGTGTATTTTTTAAAATTAAAACATTATGTTAAAAGTTCAGAGTATATGGATTGGATACATCTGCATACACATAGAAAAAGAAAAAAAAGTTAAAGCAATCAACAAAGTTAACCTGAAGTTCCAACTAAAATAACCACCTTTAAATTTCTTCCTGGCATAAATTTTAAATAAAACAGCAACAAAAATACCCAAGGTATATTTTCTAAAACTGTGCTGAGAATGAAGAAATACACAGAAGTCAGGATAAATCCACCATTCAGATTAACTTTGTCTTGGCTGTAGAATATGAACCAAAACAAATATTTTTGTTTTGCTTTCTGTAGCAATATGAATTCATATATACTATATCCAATAATCAGATTTAAAAAATTTCAGTCTCATATTTCACTAGAATAATATAATTTCTTTTTTATTTTCTGAATTATTTTTATGAATGATTTCAGAAGACTCTCCTTTTTTTTAAAACTTGTTTAATGTTACTGAATTTAGTATCTTGCATAAATTATGAGAATGAACAAGCAATTTCTTTTCAGGACCCAGTTAAAACTGGAGACTTTGGATGACGCAGTTGTATTAGATGAAGATGATGATTGGCTGAATGATAAACATGGTTGTCCAGCATATGTTAGCCCAGAAATCTTAAGCCCAACAAGTAACTATTCAGGTCGAGCTGCTGATTGTTGGAGCCTTGGTGTCATGTTGTATACAATGTTGGTGGGTCGTTACCCATTCCATGACACAGAGCCAAGTGGTTTGTTTAGCAAAATCCGTCGGGGTTGCTATACAGTACCAGAACATCTATCCTCCAGAGCCAAATGTCTCATTAGGAGCCTTCTTAGAATGGACCCTTCTGAGAGGTTAATGGCAGAAGAAGTATTGGATCACCCTTGGTTTCGATCTACAAAATTCAGTGATGAATTACCTGGATCATCTGACCAGACTGTACCAGATCCAGAATTCAGTGTGGAGGAAGATCAACCTCTTTTTATGTGATTGAAACTTTGTTATTCTTAAGTCATAAGAACTGGCAGCTATGAGCGCAGATAAAGCAACTCCTGTGCTTTCAGTGCCCGGTATTCCTTATTATTTCTAGCTGTGTTCTGTGTACAGAAATAGGAAGTTCAAACATTCAATCCACTTAATAAATAGCATGACTGTGCAAGTTGTATTCATCATTTCCCATGATCAGTGGGAATTCTTCAAGCTGTATAGAATTGGAAAAAAAAAAAATTGTGCATGTACTTTGAGTGTAATCAAGTCATTTTCATATCACCTAAAGGAATTTTTTTTTTTTTTTTTTTTTTATGTTTGCATAAAACATGTTAATAAATTTTTAGTGTTAACTTACCAGTATTTATTGAAATATAGGTCTGTATAACACAGAAAATCAAAGTTGCAATCTTGCTGCTTTTTATTGTGTTATATGAATCAAATTTCTCAAAATCTGAGTCATAAAAAGTAATTGTGTACAGCAGACCGGGCCAAATCATTCATAGCAACTTTGCACTGCCAAGCACCCCCTGTAGTGTTGTTTGCATGGATGTCATTAGCAGTTTATGTTTTGTCTTGTAATGTTGAGAGTCCCTACATTGAAGGGAGCAAGAATAACAATTTCATTGTTAATGTCATTTTCTCTCGTCATTCTGTGTGACATCAGTTTTCCTATTTCAGGTGTTACGCATCTCCTGTGCTTTCTCAGGTAGTTATGTGAGCCAAGAGTGAGAAATAGGTGGTACTTTTTTGTTTTGTACATGGTACTTTGTTCCTCATTTGTGAAAAGAAAAACATGCAGAATAAAATATTCTACTTTGAAATATTGAAACTAACTTTATATTCAACAATATATAATTGTCCTGCATCTCATTTCTGCATAACTTATATATAAGTTTTCATTAATATTTCTTGAAACATAAAATAATAATAATTTGAGAGGTAAGAGAATTTTCTTGAAATTTTATCTTTTGTAAGATAAAGGTTTATTTTGCATGTCTAAAAACATGACTAAGCATAAATATTTGGGAATTATAAGATTAAACTTATTTAGAAATTGGAATCAAAGGTTGATGCATGTATGTACATAGTGTAAAACTGGACTGTATCTTTTTTCCTTTTCTTTTTGTGCAGTCTTTTAAAGTATCCAGAGTAAAAAGTGAAAATAATTCCTAGTTTTGGTGAACATTTTAAATGAAGTAGATTCACTAAAATGTTTACTAATTGTGAAATTTTTGCATTTCATGTTTTAAATAATTGTGAAATATTCTTTGTTGTGGAAAGAATAACTAGTATAAAAGTGTTAAATGTTGTAGATCGGTGAATGTGACATGTGAATGTAGAAATATTAATTAGTATACATACTATGCAACAACATTTCAAATCTTGATGGAATACCTATGCATTTTTAAATAGATTTGAGTATAGAAAATTTTTATTAGCCACTGAAGTTATCTGTTAGGCTTAGTTCCTTTGAAATAGCAGTAAGTTTTGTTACTGTGTTTAAATCGGTGCTTATGATCAGACTTCATCTAGTAACCTTTATTTTATTTTTTTTGTTCAGAAAAAAACATTTGCTAAAAATGTATCCGATTGGTTTATGTTTTGCTACATTACTGTTTAATCATCTTGTCAAGGATTTTAATATATGCATATTGGCTATTGAATGGTTAATCTAATTTGTAAAGTATTTACCAAATCTTATTTTTCATTTCTCTTATCTACTGACATTAAAATCAAGTGTTTATAAAATTTGTATGAAGTGAATTGTGAAAAAGCTTCTCGTGTTTTTTAGTAGAACATATCACTTACATTGCATCATAATCAAAATCAATAATAATAATCTATCACAAATGAAATAAGTGACTTGTTAAAAATCTCATGAATATGTGGAGTACTTAGTTATAATTAGGCTGCTGCAGACAAGGATGTTTATGAAAGTCCTTCCCCTAAAAAATTACTGAACTTTAATTTTTGTAAGTAATATGATTACGTATCAATTTCGAATGTTTTAAGATTTTGATGCATTATTATGAACTGAAAATTATATAACACTTGCAGTGGCATTTGTGTAGAGTATATAGTTGTAAATTTTATTTATTTTCCATTTTATATGACCCACGAAATTTATCCCAAAATCCATTTTGCGAGATGAAAACTTTTGTTTGGTGTAAAATTTTGATTTGTTGAAATTTGTAAATAAAAAAGTACAGACATGTAAATGTCGTGCATGTTATTTATTTCAGATGAAAATTAGTTTTCAAGAGTGAAACACTGAAAAATTTTCATTTGAAAATTGAAATAATGAACTGTAGGAAATGTACAATATTACCGAGTAATAGCTGCATATGTCCAACTGTTATTTAGTTTATTAGATTTTTTTTTCATTAGGGGTCTATTAGTTTTTTTTTTTTTTTCATTAGGGGTCTCTTATTTAACTCTTTAATTCTCATGTGATGAGAATTAAGAGTACATATGAAATATTTAGAAGTCATCCAATGATACTTTCTTGTTAAAGTAACGTAAACTTTGAAATTTAACGTAGTGATTAAGTTTGTCAAATTTGCAGTAAAGTACAAGGCAGTATCCATTTAACTTGATAGTTTAATAATTATTTACATAAAATTAAAATGAAGCAAAATGTAATATTAAAAACTAAATTTCTTAACTTTAATTTTGCCTTTACTTAAAGGCAAAATTTACTGATTCTACTTTTTCTTACCCAGCTGTTATTTCTCCTACCTTTTTCCTGCATATGCAAACTTTTATTTTTGTCCTTTAAATTGTTTCAGCTCTTTAGTGGCCAAACACCTTGAGGTTGCAAATCATTTTACTTCTGAAGTGCTTTCTCTTATCATATTCATAACATACTGTTAATTAATCTTGATACTGCATGCATAGCTTCAGGAGCTGAATTCATGTTTAGCAATATCATCAACAGTGACCTATTTGGCTTGAAACCTAATAAAATCAGTTGTTCAACAACACAGTTATTCCTTAGATCCATTTAAAAAGGAGCTCAGTATGTTAAATAAAAATTAATTGAAGTTAATAAGTTATGCTAAATAAAACTCTTTAAGTGAGAGAGATGACTATCACTGCATTGTAAATTATTCATCTGTCATTTAAATATAATAAAAAAATGAGGTTTGTTTTAAGTTAAATATTTGAACTCTGTCATTGTCGAATATTATTAAAAATGTTATGAATAGGTACATGGCATATAAGAATTATACACCTATATTTTCTAATACTTAAATGATTTTAAAATCTGTAACAAATTACCTTTATGAGAATAATAAGCTATTCCAAGCACATTAATGTTGGTACATATGCACCAGCATGCTGCTCAAGAGTAAAATGATTTTAACACAGTATTAATACAATTTTATACTATTAGGGAAAACAAATTTTTACTTTCCAAATATACTTTCCTTTATTCATGTGTAATGTTATTTACTACATGAAAGAATAACTCTGTAAAAAGGATATTTTGATCAGAATAGGGATATTAAATACATATAAGAAAAACATCTTCATGCAGTTGGCAGGATTGAATATCAGGAAGATTTTATTGATATCAAACTAAAAAATTCATCTGAAGAAAATCTTGACATGGTTTAATATTTTTTTAGAAATTTTATGTAAAGCTTAATCATTTAAAGGCAGTTAATGTTATTTTAAAGGGTTAATATTTTTTCATATATAATGTACAGTATTACATCCAACTTATTATTTATAAACATTTGCATCATTACTGTATCTAGATAATTATATTGTATTAAAAATATCTTTTAAGTACAAAATTAATCATTTGTGCAATGTGTAAGTTTCCTGGTTCGGTTCTTATTTATTATTATCATATTTGTGTAAAAAATAATTTTAATTAAAAAAATTAAGTCTAAAAACCTCACTGAAATTTAACATTAATTTTTTAAAATCATAAATATCTTGCATCTATTCTTAAATAAAAATAATGCCTTAAACTAAATGGAACAAAATCTTGATTCTCAAATAAAATTAAGACTTCACCCCCTCAAAAAAACGTGCTGAGACAAGTACAAATAAGTACAGGAACTTCAAAATCAAAATTCTTTTAAGCATGAATGGCATGAGCAGAAAAATATAAATGTATTAGAAAAGCTATACTATTACTATTTCAACATAAAGAAACTTTCATCACCATAATATGTTTTGGATGCAGACATTTTATTTATATGGTATCTAAGAATTCAAGCATCTGTGTCATTAAGAAATACATATTTAACTTTTTATGTGAATTGTTTTCTTACCCCTTTTCCTAACTGAAGGCTAAATTAGCACAAATAAGTTTAAGACTTGTTTTAGTATATAAAATTTAAGAAGCTGGATGAATAATTTGGGATATTTGTAGAGGAAGAATAAATGCACTTTTACTAGAAAAGTCAGCAAAGTTAAGACAATAATGGAATTTAATGGTCATTAAATGATATGTGTATCAGAATGTATTTAATTATATTTAAATAGCTTTCAAGGAGTATTTTTTTTATTTCCACAGTATTCTTTCCACTATTATCTCTCAACGGCCTTTTCAATCCTTTTGCAAATACATGCAGAATTTTAACTTAATCATCACATTACTAATAGCAGTAATATCTGAAAGTAATATAATAGAAAGGCAATAGATAACTATAAATGTCTTTAACATGTTTTAAATACTTCCTTTAAAAAATATCTCAGCCCTGAAAACATTAAATATTTTTTGGAGAAATTCAAATATACAATGGTTATCTTATACAACATTTAACTTTTTTTTTTTGTATGATAGGAAGTAGTACAAAATTTTGCGATTTACCAAGGTAAGTTAGTCTATCAAATTATTTTACACCATGAGAAAGAATCAAAGCATAAGGGTAGTTTTGTCAATTTATATATAGGAAAAGCAGAATTTAAATATAGGAAAAGCAGATACATTAATGAAGTTCATTAAATTTCCATCTGTCAGTATTATATCAATTTAAATTATTCACCTTAAATGAACAAGAAAAATAATTATCAATACAAAAAGTACATTTATATGTACATATTTATATATATATATATCACAGCATTCTTGTTAAAAATAACATTTTAGGTCTACAACAACAGCAAGTAAACATTTACAGGAAACAGTTTCACAAGATATGCATACACAAAGTTTTTTGACAACAGCTAAACATACTGCACAATGATTTGAGATGTGAAATGTGAGTATATAAATTTATTGTAATAAAAAACAGAAGACTTTTTTTTAGTGTAAAACAAATTCAATGCTATGAAAATAATTTAATGAAGTTATATTTACTTCATCGTTAACATAGGATATGAGATTTTTGTACAGCAATAATTTGTTTATTACTCTTTTCATATCAAATAAAAAATGAAGATAGATATTTAAGGAAGAATGAAGTTAAATATTTTAAACGTAAGTTTATTTTTTACAGTTTGAATAATGCTTTTTTAAATTTGATTAGTTTAGGAAATATTTTTCAAAAAAATTTCATGGCTGTTGTAAATTGAAAATAAATTATAATAGTTATGAACTGATGGTAAACTGCACTTTATCTTCAGATCTGTAAGTGGCCAATTCTTTTAAAACCAGATTTTAAAACAGTTCAAACAATTATTAAAATCAATTATCAATTTAAATTCATAAGATTATGTATTTTATAATTTGCATACATAATCAATTTTTGAATGCACAATATTTTAAATAAATTTTCATCAAATAATTTATAACCAAAGCAAACTGTGAAAATGTTGAACTCTTTGTATATTTTAGCTAGAAAAGGTGAAAGAGTATTCAAAATAAATTGAAATTTTGACATAACAGCAAGCTTTTACAAACGTAAATTTTTTACATTAAATTAAATCACAATTTAAAAAAGTATTATTACATTGAAAAACTACACACTGTTCTAATTTCAAGTTAATTTCATATGCTGAAATGTAAAATATCATAAATAAAAATAAAATTTATAATTAAATGAGAAATAACAAAGATAACTTAATAAATCTAAATCTTTGTGGAAGTTTGCAGCATTCCTAAAAAATTGATTAGGAATAAAACATACATCAACTGATTTTGCCCAGTTCTATTTTCTGAATCACTCTGGAAGAATGGTAGATTGCTGTATCTATCATTCCTGCAACTGAAGAATTTTTTTAATATATAAGATGATGGAAGATTACTTCTAATGCATTATTTAAAAGTGAAAATGCATCATTATTTCAAAAAATTGCAATCTAAAAACCTTTACAATCTAGTATTTTAAAGAACAGTTTCCCCATTAAAAATTCCAAAGAATTATAAAAATTTAAAAAGTATACTCTACTAGTTACATAATTTATGATATCACAAATAATAAATTATATCACTTAGATAAGATTAAAAAATAAAGATTTAAATTACTAAGAAGTACATTTATTGCTTAAATAAATCAAAAACAGATTCAATAAATTAAAAAAATAAACTAGAGATCTTATGCTTTGGCATATGGAAATAATCTGAGAATCAGATATGTGTGACGGTGAATGGAAAATTAATCAGAATCGTATGTTTTGTACAGTGGCAATACTTGCTAAGATGCATTTATGATACAGATGCTGCTTCTAGATGCTTTACCCATCAGTTTCCAATATATGATGGCATCTACAGATTTTAATTTTTTGGGATATTATTTTACATCTAAACTGGAAATAATCTCCTTTGAGGTGTTATTAATAATAATAATACCAACTTACCTGTGAACACACCACCGACTATTGCGCAAACACTGGTTAGAAAATGGAAGAAGGATCTGCAAGACATTAAGTGATTCTATAACAATGGATACTGTTTATTGCAGTATTCTTTGTAACTCAAAAATTATAAGCATTCTTAAATTTCTAAAATGAAATTAAGATAATCTGAGTAGCTGCTTAAAGGGGGCAAAAAGTTACAGTCATAATGCATTCAGTGAATTCACGTTTTGTTAATTCATTTATTACAAGCAGTAATAATATCAAAATTATATTTGGTGAATGATCAAATATTCCTTATTCATCAGTTAGTTAATTACACAATATAAAATTTGTTAAAGTACATACAATACAATTATTATTCAGTGTTCAATATTTAAATAAACCGCTAACATAAAATGCCAGTGTATGTTCAAAATTTATACAGCTAAAAACTTACTTTTGTTTTTCACCATATTTGACCATAAGAGGTGCTAATTCATAAATCACAAATAATCCTGGAAGTCCTTGCTCTCCAAACAGAGTGGCTTGTTTCTGATGGCGAGTCACAGCAAACTGGTTTGTATGTAATGTCTGAAATTTGAAATTAGATCAATTAATTATAATACAAAGCAACTATAAATAAGAAATCATAAAAGGGGATAAAAACTTCAGTTCATTAGTAACAGAATGAAAAGTTTACATTTTACATAAAATGAAGTCTGGTAAATATACTTTATTATTCAATATCAGTATTACTTCATACAATAATACAAATTTCATATTTGGTAACAAAGAAAAACAGCAATTATACATGATAGAAAATGACATTACTGGGTGGGGGACGAATACAAATTTTATATACTACTAGTTTTAAAGGATTTTAAAATTTCAGAATAAAATACACTTGTGGTTTTCTATTTATTTCTCTTGAGAAAGTTAATTACGTGAATTACCATTAAAAAATTAATTACAATAAATTGTACATTAAAAGAACATTGATAAATTGTTTATCCTTTAATTCAAAATTATATATAAGGCTTGGCAGCACTAGGCGTTTTGCCTTTACTGCTCTCAAATTCAGCTGTCTAGTATGCTGCACTGGTTGAAGATATCTGGTATTGGGCCTGTATTTATACTATTTTAAAAAAAGAACTGCTTTAAATGGATTAAATCCATTCAAAACAACCCTTAGTTTTTATATTAATATATATACTGTCATTTTAAAAAAAAAAAAAAAAAAAAAAAAAAAAAAAAAAAAAAAAACATTTTTTTTTTTTAAATTTTGCAGCAACTGGGCAACAATCAATTGAAGATTGAAGAAGACTTAACAGCCCTACCAGAAGAAGAAAATTTAGAATCTGGGATAACACTTAATAACATAACAGTTACAAATTATTTAATTAAATAAGTATCGAAAAATGGATAACCTTATCATCTCATATTATTAATTACAAAAATATTTGTTATACAATTTAATAAAACCAATGCAAGAAAGTATCACAAAAATGCCACTACCTGTCCATCAGCACGAGCATACATTGTAGGCACTATTTTTACATAATATTGGAACATCATACCACCTATGACAGATAAAGATACGAATTAAAAATTAATTCGCATAAGTATTAAACAAGCTATGAAACATCACAAAACACAAATACTTTTTAAGTGACTCAGATGAAAGTTCCAACGATAGATGGCAGCACAAATCACATGTGAAAATATTTATCAGCAGCTTAAGCAGCGGTTCTCAAACTTTCGACTAAGGCGTACCATCTAAATAAAAACTGAAGTACCATCGCTACATTTTACAATGATTATTTTTCAGTTTCTCAATAGAAATATTAAACATAAATATATTGTGCCATTTGCACAACCTATTGGCTATTTGCATTAAATATGCATACATAAAAATATATTAGATTAAAAATGGGTTACCATTTATTATTAAAATTTAAGTTATACTACTTTAATTGTAAAATTTAGTGCGAAATTTGGGGCCTGTTTAAGAGAGATAAATTTCCTTGAGTCTAGTCTTATTTGACTTAGTTTTAACCGCAAATTAGGATCAACTTTTAATTTTTTTAAAATATAACATGGAAGAAAATCTCTGTTCACACAAATAGGTTGTTCAAAAAGGGACTAAAAATTTAGTAGCTTTACTTGAAATACCTTTATTTTTCGGTTCAGACAAAAGTTGACAAGTGTGTTATTTTTGAAATCTTCAGTTCGAGTTCGATCACAGGAAATTTCTATCAATTTTTCTTCACGAGATTTTTAAATTTAATAGTTAAAAATACTTTTCCTTTGCTTACCACATATTTTTCTATTGCGTATCAGCCGTTGAGAACCCCTGTTCTAAAGTATCTTTCACAGTTCTACAATGCAGATAACTTCTGCTGTAAATAATAATAAAGTCATGATATTAATCCTGCTTTTAATTCAAGAATTAGTAGCCCCCTTGTCCTTATCTAATAACTTTTACTTCAATGAAGAATTATAAAAAATGCATTCAGCTATTTATTATGAATTTTAGTTTAACTAATTAAGAAGCGTAATTTAATTCATAAATAATTAATTTCTATTCCTTAACAATTTTTAAAAGATTTCAAATAAAAAAGTAACATACAAAAATCAATCAACGTATTTTTGCTATTAATGGCAGGCATTTTAATATATATATTTAATACTTCAATTTTGTTTTCTTTCCACAAAATGATAATAAACCTGAATATTAGCATAATCACTTTCAAGTTTTTTTTACACCCAACATTTGGAATAAAAATTATATCGGTATTTGTAAAAGATATTTTTTTCCCTTAATGAATTTTAAAATTTATATTTTCTTTAATAATTTGGAAACAAACATTTTGCATTAAATAATTTCAGTTCGAGTATTGGCTGTTCAAAAAAGACACTTATACAGGGCTCAGCCGGGATTTGAACCCGGGACCTCTCGCACCCGAAGCGAGAATCATACCCCTAGACCACTGAGCCGACATCCATTCTTCCAGAAAACTGCAACTGATTTCAGTTATTCCCATACAATTGCGAAACGCTACGACACGAAGGAGTATACGAAACATCTTCCTCCGAGAAATACTGATAAGTTTAAATCGAATATCAATTATCACTAATTTGTTATTAATACTTCATTATAGTTTAAAATCTCACATGCTTAATAAGGCTAATATAAAAATTCGTACAAAATGGCGATATGAGAAAGTTCCAAAAATGTACTCTTAGCAGCGGATTTTCAGTTCTTGATTAACTTGAAATCTATTGAAAATTATCAATAAAGAATGTTAGCACCCTACCATTTTTATAAAACAGTTTCTTCCAATAATCGCACAATAATTATATTTATACAGATTACCCAATACACCCAACATTCAATGAAGGGGGTAAGGATTTTTAAATCTAATATATTTCATTTTGAAGGCATTTGATACTTCTTTTTCTCCTGCTCATACATCCTCAAAGATTACTTGCCTATTGCCATAATATTGCTTTTCTAGACTTCTCACCAATTGCTTAATTATGCCTTCAAATGCTTATTTACTGAGTTTACTCAAGTATTGATTCTTGCCTTCGGGCGTGGTGTATTTTATTACACACACCTCTAGTTTTTAAAAATTTTAATGGCCTCTGGTATAATGATTAATTGCTGGTTAGAAGTAATTAATCATTATACGGCTTAGTAGTTGAAACCAGAAGCAAAGATATGATCCAAGATCCTTGATACTTCTCTGCAGATCTTATAAAACTAATTGAGCATAAATCGAGTATTAACACACATTACAAGAAAAAAAATGACACTCATCAAAGAAAGTCTGGATTTTTCATAAAATTAAAACTAGAAAAATATATTTTTCAAGATTTATTGGATTGCTATAATTATTTTTTAATATAATTTAATCTTTTTGGCATAGTTTTTTTTCATTATTTTTTACCTATTTTTGCTCTACTCAAGTTTTATTACCAATCTCGGAGAAATATTCTGTTTCTGAACTCTATATTCCAATCTCTGTTGCCAGACATGTTCCACAGGTTTCACATTATATGAATTTGTGCACAGCAGAAAAGAGTTCTTTATTTTCTAGAAATTTTTTTTTAGCATTTAAATTTTCTTTTATGTGTTTAGCTTTGTATTTTTATGTTTTAGTAAACTTGTAGTATCTCTGTGTTGTTTTTATATTTTATGTCTGAGATTTACTTGCCTTAGTACAACTTAGAGCAAGTAATTTAATAAAAGGAGGGAAATTAAATGTGGATGTTTAGAACATATCTTTGTTTCAGGATGAACTAAACAACTGCCAAATTTACAGTCACAACAACATGCTCAAAGATGTTATCTTATTGGAATTATATTTTATTTGGTAAAATTTACAAGATTTTTTTTAAAAATCTATTATACCATAAATGCTAAAGATTATTGTTTCAACTGAAAATATGTGTTTCCATATCGTAATTTTTCCCTACATGGAAAAATTTTGCGTTCTTTTAAAAATCCTCTTTTAGGTTTTTTTAATGTTAAAAGGTAAGATATTAAACAAGTTTACAAATTAAATTTTAATCTAGTCCTAAAATTAATTTATCAAAGATGCCAAGTGAGTTAACATTAGCAAATATATTCTTACTAAAGTATGCAAATATATTATTTTTCATTCATTTTAAGAAAAAGGGCAGAAATTTTCTATCCTTCCACTAAGGCAGACTTTTTTCTTTGTCATCTGCACATTATATTCAGCAGATTGAATTATTATTATTTCAGCAGCCTGTGAATTAGCAGATACTCCCAGAGCCAGATTTATATTTGATAAGGCCCTAAAGCTATTTGAGATATGGGTACAGTAACCACACATCCCGCCGATTTTTAACAATGTCCGGGTTTTTAGAAAATATCTGCATTTTTTAATTTAAATATGCTACCTATTACAGTACAAAGTTTTTAATCCAGACGTTCATAATCCGGAATGATCTATAATCCAGACCTCAACACTACAAACTTTCTGCACATGTATAAACGCTACGCATGCACATAATGCCTTTATGCATGCGCATAATACATTTAAGCATACACGTTTAATGTATAACAGACGGTATAAGCTAGGTTAAAATTACCTAATTATCTATTTCAGTTAATGTTGCAGATTGCATCGTTCCTTAATCTTCTAACTGGATTCGGCTTATTAATTTTTGCAGACTGTTAGAGCAATTTTATAAAATGTAAGCTTGAACTTTTGATTATGTCAAAAAGAGTTTCCGATTCTGGAGCTGCTAAAGGATCTACAAAGCGAACGCATGTTTCGATCTCCATCAAACAAAAAGTGGAATTGCTGCAAAAAATGGATAAAGGCATGAAGAAAGTGACAGAGAGGTTAGTGCAAATGAAAAAATTTTGATTGACAAGTTAGTCAGTATTCTCAGCACAGCAATTATAGGACTTGAACAGCGGAACTTTGTAACTGAACAAGAAATTATGTCTGTTCATAGAATTAAAGAGAAAGTATTAGCACATAAAACGAAGCAACTTAAACAACTTACATTGAAAGAAATGTTTAATAAAGTAAACAAATAAATATTAAGCTTTTTTCTGTAAATTTTGATACCCTTTAGATAATAATTGCTCTTTATTTCATAAATTATGGTTTCATATTTTTAATTTTATAATTTCTTAATTTTATAATTTATAACATCTTATCAGATTTAAATTGATGATCTATAATCCGGAATCGCCGAAGTCTCGACGGATTAAAGACTTTGTACTGTATTTATTAATCATAGCGAATATAAAGAAATAAAAATACATAAACAAAAAACACATATAATGCATGCAGAGTAAACTAAATTAGGCGGGAAGCAGTTGTGCATGCACGAAATAGCTGTCGAAGCAAATTGAACCTTAATACCATTTTGTGCACGTGTGGAATAGTTGTTGAAGGGCAAACGTCATGTTCATAAAGAGTTCATACTTCTGTGACACCATTTTTTTTCTGTCTGTATCGACATAAATCAAATCCGTATTGGACTCGTCTTATTGTTGTTGTGTTTACATTACATGGAACAATGATTACCAGAGCCTACTCCAAAAGAAGTTCCACCCCCAATTTTGAGGGAGAGCACCCCGGGGGGGATACGGAGATTCCTCACCAATCCACGCAAGGACTTTTGGCTCACCGCATATTTAGAGTGCCGCCATGCAGCACCAACACTATACATTTACAAACATTTGTGTCTTCTCCGGGATTCGAACCTGGGCCCTTCGGTACCATAGTATGCTCTCCTAATCACTATACCGTCTGGGTGACTGGTCTTGTCCTAATGCAGATAAGTGTGGACTGCTGTTAGACAGTGCGGTTTGTTGTTTTCAGTTTGATGTCCGACTCATTATTTAAATGATGAAGGAAGTAAGCACAGCCACAGCGTAACGGTCAATAAAGTAAAATTTAGTACTTATTTTTAGCCAATGTAGTAAATTATTTATTTATAGTATTTACCCATAAAATAAAATATGAGTAAAAAAGATAATGCAAATTTAATGAGGAGCTAAGCAGATAATTTCCACTTATTAAAAAAA